CGATACCTTTAAGACCATCAAACAACAACAGCTGCCAATCCAGGTCCTTGGGAAGGACTCCATAGGTGGATAAAAATGCCAAATCCAGTCTAAACATCTGCTGACTATGCAACCAACCATCATCATCATCATAAATCATTTGATATGATATGCATATGAATGGGCTCAATAAGGATCTAATGCTGGGAAAGGTGGAAGGAAAGAGAAGAGGACAACCAGCAGCAAGGTGGATGGCTTTAGTTACAGTGGCAATGAGTGCACTGTTGGGAGACTTTAAAGCACAGGTTAGAGATAGATTGCCATGGAAAAAATCTACCTATGTGGTTGCTAAGAGTTGAAAACAACTTGATGGCACATAATCGATTAATCAAATCAATATTATAGTCCTATTTGTATGCATGCTTGGATTTAAAGTTTGCTCCTTGAAGCTGAGTCTCTGTACACTCCCAAAATTATGCTGAACAACTGTGCCATCTGAGACTACAATACTATTTTGATTTGGTACCTCCATCCAAAAGACTTCCTATAGTCCTCATAATTTCAGAGTGCTTTAAATAGAAAACCACTATACATAGCCAGGAGCAACTAGGTCATACACAGCCTTGTAGAGCTGAGGCATTTTAAGAAAAGACCAATTGCAGTAGGGGTAAGAAGGACTAGGAATTAGCAAGTGAGGAAACTGGAATAATTCTCTTCCTTTGCTGTTTCCCAAGTCAGCTTGAACCTGAGGCAGCATTAAGAAAGGGAAGAAAATGAACATAGTTTGAACTAATTCGTGAGACACTTTATAAGAAAGTCTGAAGCATGAGATCCTTACTTGGTTGTTTCTGAGGGGCTCCATGAAAGATTGGGTGATAAGAACACATTTGCCCTGGAAGGGGTCATTGGTTTCACCTTATAGGTGGTCAAGCCTTCGGGAGGCTTAAAGACAAAATTCTGAGGGGCAAACGAACGGCTTCTTTTTGGGGGTGCTGGCACGTTTTCTTTCTCAAGGAAGGCCTTATTCTGTTCACTGCTTGCAGCCGGTTGAAGCTTCACCTCTTCTTTCTTTTGGTCCACTAGAATATCTTGATTCGTACTGTGTGCTACCTGCTAAAACACACAGTGATTTCTTTTTCAATTTTAACACACACACACACACACACACACACACACACACACAAATAGTTTTACTGGAAAATATTAGTAGGTAACATAACAATTTCATTTGTCTCTAGGTCATATTTGAGAATTTGATGCATTCAAAGCTACCAACTTAAATACAAACAATTGTGGAATATTTCCATCATCATGATTTGCCTGAATATATGCTTGCACTCAACTGAGCTGAATCAGCAAGACTTCACTATTTCAGTTTAGGCAAGCCGCAATCTTTGATTTCAGAACTGCCAACTGGGGATAATAGTAGCATACTATTTATGGTATGATACAACATAAATGAAAAAGGACATAAAATTATACTATGAAAAAATAAACTTACTGTTGTCTCTTTCTTCATTATCTCTTTTTGCTGCTTTCCTTTAATTGTAACTCTTTTCTGTGGCAGATCACCTAAAACAGAACAGACTGAGCATCATTCCGTACATTTTTCACTACAAGGAATTCAACTGCAACAATAACCACAACAACCACAACAAAGCAATGGAAGATAAATCATTTTATAGAAGTAGAGAGGGAAATGCATCAGAAGTGCAATAGAACAGAATTCAAATCAAGAAAACCTATAGCAAAATGACCAAGCAAGTGGCAACACCTAGATGATTTTGTTTGCACTTAGTAGATCGGCAAGATCATGGCTGGTTACAAGTTAGATGGGGGGGGGGGCAATATGCAAGATTGGGAAATTGAAAAAAAACATCCCAGAAGAACCAAGAAAACTGCATGGTTGTGTTCACATGTTGCAAGGAATCAAACCTGAATCAAGGACATCTTTACTTTTAGCTGTCCAAGTAAAGTACTTTAGTACTATTTCACCTACTTGAAGTTATATTTGGTTGTGATATTTGTGGTATTTTGGACTTGGCTGCTGCTGCTGCTCTTGTCATTCTTCCACGTGTGGTTCCTGAGATGGCAGACTGCACCTCTGAAAGAAGATGGCAGAAAGCTGTGCAATCACAAAATCTTTCATGTTCTGTGTAGAAGGCAGGGATGGACATCTTTTTTGCAGGGCAAAAACTGAATAAAGTTGACTGGACCATGTCATACAACTGGGCAGGGCTGGGATTTTCTAGTTGTTCTGGTACTAAACCTATTTTAGAGCTTCCACTATAGTTTTCATGTGTTTCTTGCTCCACAGTGATATGAAACTGCCTCACCAACGTCTGGCTATTGCATCACCAAAATTCACTGGAGCCATTGGAGCAGGCTCCGAGGGCTGCAAGAAAGGTGCCCTTATTTAGATAAGGACAAAGAACTCATACCTCTACTCTCTTTTTTGGAAGGTTTGTCTATGTAGATCTGCTTCTGTTCATGCTGAGCTATCTGCAGACTGTAGCCCTTGCTGGTATAGCTAGACGCAATCTAAAGAAAGAAATACAAATTTAAAAACACACCTTTTTTGTGAAAAAGCAAACACTTTATTATTCATTTAATTCCAGAGTCTATAAGCAGACATTGGCTAGCCATTTATTCCATCAGTGATCGGAGTCTTTGATCTAGCCTTTGTAAATCTCTGTTTAGTCACCTGAAGCTTGCCTTAAATCTCTACCATCCAACAGCCAGCATTAAAGATATTGCTTCAATAACAAGATCAAGCATTTCAAAATGCAGTTCTCAATTTTATATGAAAGTGATAGCCTCTGTATCTTTCTGTTTAAAAATGTACCAATAATGGCACTTAAAGTCTTGGGCATATAAAATCTAGTAGTGTTTTAAGCAAAATAATTATTCTAAAATTAATATATAAGATCTAGGATGTAAGAGAATTGTGCACCCAGTTCCACATACTAGAAAAGAAAGAGATGGAAGGAACATGAAGCATGTGTTTGTTGATCAGCACTCTCTTCCATTCTTCATGTTGTAAAACAAATAGCTCATGATTAAAAGAGTTTTCATCATATTTTTTGATATGGCATGAGCCTTCACAACCCCCCTTGGGCATGTCTCTAGATGTTACGCTGTCCCTTGAAACGAAGAATACACTAATGAGGATTTTAAGACTTGTGTTGGATTCTTGGATTTGTCTTTTTTAATCAAACACACGGTCAAATGCAAATTACATCCCCCTCCCCGTGGTTAAATAGTTGAATAACTATTTAAGGAACTTAAGAGCATCAAGAAGTTGGAGAAATAGATTTTCTTGTCCAAACCCCTCCTCCAAATCATTGTCCGGATTAGACAGAACAAATCAATTTACATGGTATATTAGTATGCTGATTAGCATAGATCAGAAAGCACAGAACCTGCGCCCCTCAGTTTTTGGCTAAAAATCATGTATTTATCTTCCAATATGAACAAAACTGAAGTAGGGTAGGTTTAATTTTGGGTGTTGCAATATACCACAAATCAGCTAGTCAGTTACTAAAATTTCACGTATAACCCAAAATTATCCACCCTGATTTAACTGCCACAAATATGATAGAACATTTTTGTAGTTAACATGCAAATACTATATAATCACAAACACGTAAGACAAACCGTTGAGAGCTGTGGCCTCCTTGGTTCTGGCAATTGTTTTTTTGACTTTGACCTTGTTACTCGCATTACAGCTGGAGCTTCCTAGGAACAATCCGGACATAAGAATGAGCAAAATTCCAATCTCTATATTATATGTGCAACTTTTAGCAAGAAACATTTTTGGAATAACCTGAAAGCAGTTAGGAATTCTCATGCAACCTTTTTTATGTCTTATTTTACTCCTGGTTATTTATTTTCTTAACTACTGCTGCTTGATTGCCTACTGATATTTTAATATGTGGCTTTCAGGAATTCTCCAAAAGCAATTTATAAAAATGTTCAAACTAAAGCAACATTTTTTTAAAAAAAGTAAAGTGAGTAAAAAGAATTGCTGGAGGGTAAGTTTAAAACATATGCAGTTAAATCATTCATGTAACTATGGACTTTATCCAGAAATTGAAAAGGCTCTGTGTTCACTTAAACTGCTCAATTGTCTTATTCCAACTGAATTTTCCACACTATTGTATAACAATTAATGCCCGCCTTTCATGTTTTTGAGATTTTTATTCTATCATTTCTCCAAAGTATTTAGAGCGGCATATATGCCCCTCCTTGGCATTCTTCACATAGAAGTCCCTATAGATTGCATATGTATGCATTACTGGCTCAGGATCATGGAATCAAATCATAGTCAAATGCACATTTGAATTACATTTCCCCTCCAGTGGTTTAAATCTAACGTATCAAACTGCAACATGAAAGTGCCACCTAACATTACAGAGTATTGTACAATGTAAAACTAAACAGGATGAGCTGTGAGAATCACCACCAACCCTATCAACAGCTGTGAAATACTGTATTCAGAATAAAGCATTTGTGCATTAACTCAATGAAACTTCAGAAACTTCAAATATTTAAAGCAGAGAAGCCATCTCACACAGAACATGCAGACCTTTCCCTTTTAGGTGCACCAAGTATGAAGATGGTTAATCATAGAGAAACTGCTTCTTCCTAGCTTATCATGTAGCAGCCTCTCTGGTCAGGAAACCAGAGCAGAATGTCAAGCCTATACATTCTATCTATTTGGAAGGGATCTGAAGAAGACTGTTTAAGAGCCAGCTATGTGTTTATCTTGTTATTCCTTCACTTGAAGAATTAGAAAATCGGAAGTGAAAACTTACTCATAGCTCCTTTTTTATTTAAATAAGACAACCCGACAAAGCATCAGTTTAAAGACTTTGCCTTTCCTGGAAATATTCTGGTGAGCATTATGACACCCCACATAATAATAACAAGATCGTGATCTGGCTATTGTAAATGGACCTTATACTCATGTAACCTTTCCTTCCATCTTCGTACATAAATCTCCTCTCCCTTTCGGATGCACAGAAGCTATTGTTATCCACTAAACCACAGCCAGAAATATACTTCAAATCTAGTTTCCAGTTCTAGGTATGGACAAACAAGAAATTGCATGAACTGAAGTATCTAAGAAGAGCAGAGAACCTGTGAAGTTCTACTCATGCTTTATCAACCCAACACATAAAGTAGCTGTTTCAACAATTCGGGTTCAGTAAAGGAATACAAGATGCATATTGAAATATAAAGTTCTTACTTTCTCCTTTGATTTGTTCAATACTGGGATCTGTGATGCTTTTGAGAGAAAAGCAGGGACCTCCGGTTTGAATTGTCCACATTTAAAAATGGGTTTGTCTCTCTGATCTTTAAGCTTGCGAAGTTCTTTTTCAGCTTTGTAGCGCTGAAGCATTTCCAGGCGCTCTTGTTCACGAGTCTTGGCTGCAAGATCTAAAATTTAATATATGTGAGGAGGAAAGTTGAAATACCACATAAAGTGTGGCCTCAAGATTAAAACTTACCTTGAATAGCTAGAACACTAGACTCAAATCAAGAAGACCATATTCAAGAGAGGTAAAAACAAAGTCCTGAAATTAGATTCACAACAAACACAGTACATGCATAAGGCAGAAAGACTTAGAGTGGCAACAACATACATGAAAAAGATCTAGCCAATTTAGTTAATTGCAAGCTGAACAAAAGCCAGTATCTAAAAACCAAGAAAATCTCAGGCTACTTTAATAGCAGCACAACATCCAGAACACAAGAAACAATAGTCCCAGTCTACTTTATGTTGCTCAGATCAAATGCCAAATTGTGTTCTGGGCGTCATGTTCATAAGAACCCTTACATGAAGAAAGTCCTCCAGAAGAATGCAGACAAGATATGTTTGGTGAGAAACAATTAAGAGCTTGGATACATAGAGAGGACAGAAAACTAATCCTAAGTGGAAGCTAGAGCAGATTTCAATTGTCCCAGGAACAAAAACAAAATTAAAATGTGGAAAATACAAGACAGCAGGCTTCCTTCTAAACCAGTGTTTCTCAACCACGACTGGCTGGGGAATTCTGGGAGTTAGTCCACACATCTTAAAATTGCCAAGGTTGAGAAACACTGTCTAAACATTAGACATAAAGTAAAAATTGCTTCAAGAGGAGATGGTTCTACTTTATGATAAATATTTAAGCAATCTGTTAAAGATGTTATAACTTTGTAAATTCTGCACTGAATGGTACAGAAATCCTTTCCAGGTTTACAACCGTGTTAACTTGAAAACATCCCAGAAACTGTAATACAATTTAACCCAAGTGTAGGCTAAAACTGAAAGAGCTCATGGACTTCAAAAGATAACAGAATAACTTAGTGAATTTAGGAAGGACAACAAAGATAAAGACTCAAAATAAGTCTTGGTTAATATTAAGTCACAAGTTTTTACTTACTTGGCTTTGGCAAGCACCTTTTGCTTCTTTCTTCCAGCTGAGAAAGAGCTTTGTCTCTTGATGGCTGCGTATTCACATCAACTAGTCCAAATTGTCTGCCCTTATTAAATTCCTTGTGCCTACTCTCTTTTTGAAACATGGACTTTCGGCGCACAAGTTTCGTCTTGAGTGTCTCAATGCTCAGATCTTTTTTGTACCGAGTGGCAAAATTTGAGGCCATCTTAATCTAGATACAAAATAAGGGCAAGAAGCATTTTACATTACAGATCTTTTGCTGTCTCCTCCAAAATTGTGTTCACCGACAAGTAACTTGCTTCTATGCATGTTGGTAAACTGGGTTGTAACAAGCAGCAGAATGTACCACTATCATACACCAAGCAATGTAACTTTCCTCACAGGACAGTTGCTTCATCTCTGATAATTTTAGTTACCCTTTTCTATATACATGTAAATATCTTTCTGGAGTAGGGCAACCAGAAAAGTACATGTTATTCTAAGTGCAATTGCATTGTAGATGAGTGCCTTATAATACTGGCAGTGAGTGTTCTTTTTTCCCCAGTTCCTTTCCTAAATTCCCAGAACCAGACCACTGGTAGCTCAGAGTTACCAAGTCTGATTGGGGGCAGCTTCCTTAGGCATCTTCCAGAGTTTACCTGGACATGATGAGTACTGAATCTAGGACTTTCTGCAGAAAAAGCATTAAGCATTTTCAAATACTGTACTGTACCTGTTCTTATATTTAAAAATGTAAGGGCCAAGAAAAAAAAAATCTAGCAATATACAGTAAGTCACAGAACTGAATGTAAACACTTAGAGCTTCTTTGCTTTCTAATGTTTTGTCCTATTGCAAAGCAAGATTCCCCCCCCCCCAAAAAAAACTCCAAAACAAATGCCTTAAACATCAGAAGAATATAATGGCTGGACTGGACCAACAGCTTATCTAGCCCAGCATCTTGCCTCTTAGAGCAGAGCAAGAAAGCAATAGTCCCCCACTTATAGTTTTTTTCATAGCAACTTATGTTAGCAATAAACTGCATATAAACCTGGATTTTCCTTATAGTCTGTGGATAAGGCAATTCTACCTCTCAGTCAGCCCCGGGGGAACCTGAGGCCTGAGATATAGCACACCCAATTCCTTAGCAATTCCCTACTCCTCAACTGGTGAAACATCCACACCATGGCATTAAGAAGTCTGTTACCTCACTGGCAGAATGGCATTTACTCTAGTTCCGGAAGCCCCTCTACTAATTTTGTGACACATTTGGGTTTCTTCTTCATGCATTCGTGGAAGACTAAGACAGGGCAGCCATTGCAGAATGCATTGGAATGCCACCCCCAACATCTCCAGTCGGCACAACCAAGGCCACCACAGATGGGGTGATGGCAGTCACAGTCCAACTTCTCTGAAGGACATTGGCGGCTCTGGATCACCTGAAGTCTACATAAATTTAAACCCCAATGAAGTTGGCCTGTTTCTGGTAGCACTGCCATGCTCTGTGGTTGTGTTCATAGAGGCTGAGCATTACAGCTTCTCAGGGCTGTTAAGACTTCTTAATCCTTTATTGGTTCTTTATGCTAACAAGACAGCGATGAGGAAGAGGCATCAGCGCTAATCAAATTAACGCCCGCTTCAGATCAAATTTTCTGCTTCCAAATACACAGATCCAGAAGACCTTCAGCCCTCCTCCTCCTCCTCCTCCTCCTCCTCCTCTTCCCCGACTCCATAGCCCCGCTCCCAGGTCCTTCTATTCCCCCAACCACGTAACCCCCAACCCACGTAAATTTCTGAGCCGTCCCTGAGGAACATCGCACCGCCATACCTCACGGCCTCACGCAATCTCCGCACCCGGTTAGATCCACGCGCAACCTTGAACGGCTAGATCGACCGAGCAGGCTCGGTGGGAGCTCCGGTTCAAATTTTTGCTGCCGTTTCTGATTGGCCGTTGAGGAAAAGATACTACATTTTCATTGGCTACGTCCTTATTCCCTGACGTCACTCCGCCTATCATCGGAGAGATGTAATTGGAAGACGGTGCGAGGCTTTTTTGGCGTCCTAATAGAGACACCCCCCTGGCAGAGCTCGCATTGGTTGGAAGCGACAGATCTCGATTGTTTCATCGGTTACATAGTTAGTCCTTTCTCCAAGCAGCTGGGCGTAAAGGAAGTGAAGGCGGGAAAGCCTTCCGGCGTGGTACTTGTGCGAAATAGCTTTTATTGACAGTGTAATGCTAAATTACACAACGCTATTTTATATTGCAGAGGGAGGGGTCAGTAAGTATTGTGGAAAAGTTGCAGCCCAACAACCTCCCCCTTCCCTGTCTGGGAAGGCTTCCTGACTGTTTTAATTTAATTTTAATTCTCAGCCCCCGCTCCCCCGGAATGTTTTGTATTTCTTATACTCTTCTCCTGAGGATTAGAATTTGGGATGGTTCTGATTGCTGGAAAAACACGTGTAGCCGCTCGGTTCTAGTTCAGTTCGATTATTCTTAGGGACTCGAAGTATGGATTTTTATGATTCCTCGCATTGGAATTTTTTATTATGTAACGTTTAATTTTTTTGGCTACTTGTTTTGATCGCGTTTACGTATTGCGAGCCTCTCAGAGTTCGTTGACAATTGGAACAGCATATACTTAAATTAACATTTTGTTAATTACCCCACCTCCCAGTTGCTTCCTCAAAATAGACACTAAACTATGATTAATATTTCTAATATACTGCAGTAAAAGTTCTCGTCTCTAAGCCTTCCTCGGCCCGCTTTCCACTTGGTTGCTACTGCTGCTAAGGAAATCCCAAGTCAACCCGGAAGGTGGGTGGTGTGTATCTCATCTTGTTTCATAAGTCTATGCTCAGAAAACCCGGGGCTTATCCGGTGTGCCGGGACCGGAAAAGGAAGTTGTATTGATTCCTTCTCCCGCGTGGTTGCTCGGGTTACGTTCCAAGGATTACTGCAAGTTCGGGATTTTTACGTGCCGTTTTTTGTTTATCTTATTGAAGTTGCAACGAGTGGGTGAGTAGAATCTGATGAGAGGACGTTGCTTTTTGGATTTCCAAAGCCGGGGAGAAAGGGGGAGGGGATCATGGCTCCTATGCATATCTACTCGGGAGTAAGTTCCACTGCCTTTAATGGAGCCACTCCCAAAGAAGTGGGCCAAGTATTGCATCCTAAACTGTGCTTCAGAATCCTCTTAAGTAAAAATTGATACACGCGTTTTCTTCCTTCGCTATAATTTATTCTATCCCTTCTTACCCCACATCAAATATCTTAAATTGTGATCTGTATGTAAAAAGTGGAGCTCTGTCGTGGAGTTCTGGTGCCTCGTTATAAACTGTCTCAGCTGCATTGGTAGAAACCTGATATCTTCTATCATGTTTATTAATTTTGTGAGCAGCAGCTATTTTATTGATTTTTTTAGCATGTTTATATTACTTAGAACATTTGGGTCTTTTAGAGGGATGTTGTAGTGTGTACAAATAAGTTAAATATGTTTCTCCCCTTTAGGCAATCAAAGAGAAGAATATGGTGCGCAAACTGAAATTTCATGAGCAGAAGCTTCTCAAGAAGCTAGACCTGGTGAACTGGGAAGCTGCAGCAGGCAATCTAGCCGAGCTGCGTGTGCTCCGTCGTTACCGTATACAACGGAGGGAAGATTATACTCGCTACAATCAGCTGAGTCGGGCTGCTCGGGAGCTGGCTCGCAGGATCAGAGACCTGGGTGATGTACCAGAATCAGCAGGTTTCCGTGCTAGGAGCACTGCGGCTCTTCTGGAGAAGCTTTATGCTATGGGTGTGGTGACCTCTAAGAGCTCTCTTGAGCAGTGTGATCGAGTCTCAGCCTCTTCCTTCTGCCGTCGCCGTTTGCCTTGTCTGCTCTTAAAGCTCCGCATGGCGCAAAACCTGAAATCTGCTGTGACCTTTGTGGAGCAGGGTCATATCCGGGTGGGACCAGAAGTTGTAACAGACCCAGCATTCTTGGTGACCAGGGCCATGGAGGACTTTATTACCTGGACTGATTCCTCTCGCATCCGACAACACGTACTCAACTACAATCAGGAACGGGATGATTTTGATCTGACTTGTTAAGAACAACCTTCCTTTTCTTTGGTTATGCATCTGGGTGGATTGTAGGATTACACCTCAAGTGTTTAACTCAGTTGGACTCAGCTAGCTTCAGGAGGTGCCCTGCTAGCAGCTTTCTGTCTTTTATTTTTGTTTTGCTTGTTTAGTTGTATTAAATGCGGACTGTAAACTAAACACACCCATGTGTGATCAGCTGCCAATATTTATCACTTGGGTTTCTGCCAGAGAGAAGTGGAGGACAACAATCCCATATGAGCATCTTGAAAAACAAAATGTACTTGCAAAACATTCTGTGTCTCCCCTTTTATTGACTTCATTTTGGGCCACAGTGAAGATTAATAACTGGATTACATCTGACCTCTTCCCAGAAGACAGTATCAGGTCTTGTTCCATCTAGAATGCTTTAATTAAAACACATGTTATTATTTCCTTTCTGATCAAGATGGGTGGCTGCCAACAAGAAATCTACGCAGCCATTATTTTAAGATTTCTTTTTTCTTGGCATCTCGGCAAGTTTATGTTCTGTTTGTTTCTATAGTAACATGTTCCTTAATAGTGAACAAGCTGTTATGCCAATGCTAAATTGTTGGCTAGAACTTCAGGTTTTGAACTGGTTATTGACTGTATGTCTTTATGTTATCCATAATAGCTTTTATTATGATGGAAAGAAATTTACTCTGGTTATGATTTTCATATTGTGTAATACCTCAAAACATTAATTTTGAGATCAGTTTTGGAGCATAAGATATTTAGAATGTTTGTATTCACTGTAAAATCAAATTTACTTCTGTCTTTGTACAGTTTAAAACAAATCGTGTGCTTCCCGAATCCTATTAATAAACTGCAAATTGGAACCAATGGAGTGTGAAGCTTTAGCTACCTATCACACTGGCAAAGCAATAACTTAAGGCTCAGGATCTACATAAATCTATTACCCATTAACTCTCTAGGAAAGCTATTTCATCAATTAATTAGCTTGATTAATAGAATGAGACTTTGTTAAATAGTAAATTAAAAAGCTGAATTCTGGCACATATCTGTTCACTTTCTATCATTGGCTTATTTGCATTTTCACAAAAAGAAACCCATTACCAAAGAGAATGCTTGTAAAGTTACTGCCAAGATCACTGTTTAATTAGTTCTTCAATCCCAACCCCCGGCCATATCTACTGCAAGTCAGGAGAGCAGTATTCAGTGAGTAAAATTCTAAGTAAATTTAGAAAAATGGACAGTATGTGTACATCTAGATGTGTAAAATTGGGATTCACTATTTCCTATGAAGATTAAGGAATCCTTAAGCCTGTTTGAGTACATGGTTGAGGGTCTTAAAAAATCCAGCAAAAGATAGGATTTTGTCAGGCAAAATCCAGGATTTTAACAGAGCTGAGATTGGGCAGAGTTCTGTCATTCCCTTTCTGAATCAAAAAGGTAACACTTGCTCTGGTATGCTTTATTTTGGATTGTTTTGAAAGGGAAGGGAGGTTTTAGTCCATTGAAATGCAACACGGCTTCATGCACAAATTGGAGCACGAGGTTTCCATTAGCGAACCACTGGATTTTAACTGAGAGGTGCTATGGAAATAATTTCAAACTGATCTTAATCCAGTCTGATGTATGTAATGCAGGGAGGATTTTTTTTACAATGAACCTGAACCAACAGTAGTCTTCAAAATTGATAGTGGCAGACAGAATAATATTTAAAATGGCATTTTCTACATAATATAGTCCAAGTATAGCATCAACATTTTTTACATAACATTTTCCTCATTGTATGAAACTTGAGCCTTTGAGAAAATAAGCCACTTTTTGCTTATAGATGGCCTTGCCACTATCCATTCACAATTACATTACAGTCCTGGGTTTTTCCATTGTTATATGCAGCTTTCACCTCTTCTAAAAAACAAAACAAAACAGGAAGTTCAAGATTTTTCCTAACTGCTTATTACATATAGTCACTGAGATGCAGTTGACAAGAATGAGAACTTTTGTCCTAGAGTATACAGTACATAATCTTCCATCCCTAGAGGAAAATAAATCCTTTGCAGAGTCAATTGAGAAAGGCAGAACTGTACCTTCCTTAAAGGCAATTGAATTGGTGAAGAGTATATTAAGGGTGCCTTTACACAATATGCTAAGCCATTGCTTATTGAAAAACCTAGAGCTGGCTGGATTCATGTGTAGATTATGATTGCTTAGAGCTGGGGTCCCTGAACCCTTCAGCTCATCAGCCTCTTCATGAAGTTTGAGATTGTTCATCGACCCTCAAACATTTATTATATGAAAATAATTTAATAAATACTACTTTAACAAATAGTACTATGAATAATAACAACAATAATGGATAGCCCCATCGACCCTTGGGGGGTTGATACTGACCACTTTAGGGAACCCTGGCTTAGAGTCATATTGAAATGGAATAAAACTCAAATAAATATGAAATCATAAACCATGATGTACACACAGCACTGATTGGCTTTACACCAACTAGTAAACTACATTTTGGCTTAATATGATTGTTACTTACTAACCACTATTTGGGAATGTCCAGATCCAACAGCTGATGTTTGATTTCCTTATTTGGACTCATTGCACTTTTCTACTCACCTTGGAATATATAATCACTGTACTGTACAGTAGTGTAATTATGCCTTGAGAGACTGTTATTAACACACTAACCAGCAGGGGGTAGGAAGTCATAGATTTGTAAATAATTTTTTAGTGAATTTGAATACTGTATAGAACTTACCTAAAAATTAATCTTGCTGATTAGATACAGCACATTTCTGAATAACCATTGTTGTTGTTGTTCAGTCATTAAGTCGTGTCCGACTTCGTGACCCCATGAACCATATTGTGTAAAGATTTTTTAATAGTCTGTATTAGGTAATAGAGCCATAAGTTTTGCATACAACTTCACATTTATATATGTCAGCCAAAAGATTATATTAATGAATTTCAGAAGGATAGTCCTATTTTAATAAAGAGATCTCCAGCCCCTTAAAGGTCAACACAGTAGATATTTTGTGATATAAGCTTTGTGGGTGAAAATACATTTTGTCAAAAGTATGACACGGGTAGTTCACAATGATAGAAGTCAGTTGGATGTTGTTAGATAGATTCATGGTTTGAAAACTGTATTCATAGAGTCCTCCTCAATGATTCATTATCAAACTGGAGGAAGAGATCACGTGAGGTGCCACAGGGTTCAGGCTCCTCAATGTTTTCCTTAATGACTTGGAGAAAAATGTGGAGGGAATGTTTATCAGATCTGCAGATGATATAAAACAGAGTGGGATAGTTAATCATATAGAAAACCAAAACATAATTCAAAATGTTCTTGATATGTACTTGAACAGTGACAAATGTGAAGTTTTTCACTTCTGAAAAAGAAATCAAATACGTATATAGTATAAGAAGCAGGAATATCTGCCTTGGTAATAACCTCATGGAGTTATAGTTGATGAGAAGGTAAATATGAATCAGCACTGTAATATGACTACTGAAAGACAAATGCAACATACTATGTTAGTTTATTTAAAGTATGTGAGTGTGTGTGTATACATATGTATATGTGTCTGTATGTGTATGTGTGTGTTTATGTATATCTGCCCAACTTGAGCAATGAGACTCTGGGGGGCTCACAAGAAATAACCAAGTTAAAAACAATCAACAATAAACAGTAAGAGTAAATGACCTGGCTCACATTCATATCCTCTCCTGATGGGAACTTACTCATCTCAGCCCCAATGTTTGGGGAAATAACCATGTTTTTTAGGACTTTCTAAAAGTAAGTGTTATTTAAGGGAAAAGCACCTCACATAAGAAAGAAGATAAGCCATTTACTAAGGATAATCAGAAGTAATAATAACAGTCAATAGAATAGAAAGTTGGCAAGTAAATTATTTGGCTTATTGTTTGAAGAGAATTTTAAAAAGGTTAAGAAGATTGCAGAGAAACTCAATGAAATCTTGACAGCTATTCTCACTATAAAAGTTGTAGGGCCTGAATTTATTGCTTAGATTTGTTTGAATGACTGAGGTGTGGAATGAATGAATGAATAAATAAATAAATAAAAATTTTTAAAAGGAAGGCTGAGCTACTTAGGAGTTGTGGCAAATATTGGTATCAATAGATGAATTTTTTGATGTTACTAACACATTGAAAATAAATCATTGGATTCAGATAATTAGCACTGGAAAACATACAACATCAAATGTATAGTTAGTAACCTAATAAAATATGTTTATATCCCTGAGAAAGTGGCCAATTTAAAGCCACATTAATTTTAAAACATGCAACTGTGAGCAAAAAGTAGTGTGTACTATGTCTAACCTTGGCTAATATAGCTATAAATAACTTTGCAGAGGAATATTACCTGTTTGCTTAATAAAGAAGGGGAAAAGCCTGAAGTAGTGTTTTATTATTGCTTATATTAGATAGTTTTCTATCAAATCCTATGAACTCATAGGAAACCCTGGTTGCAAGTACAAAGTGTGATTATATATATAAAATGAAAGAAGATCAAATTGCAAAACTAATATATGAAGGAAGAGTAAATAGGTTAAAAGGAAGAAAGACTGAGAACGTTCTGGTTGGATGGAGTTGACGAGATCTTCAAAAAGGGGTGAAAAACTTAAAGAACAAAAGGTGATGTATGAAGCAGTGTATAAACAGGTTGCAATTCCCTTGGTAGGGCTGCCCTTGGCCTGTACTGTGAGCTGGTGAGGATTCTATTCTTTGGTTAAATGGGATTGCAGGGGGCTTGGTCTGGGACAGGGTCAATTTGAGTCTGATGGGATTAGGCAAAGTGATTAACTGGGTTTTGACCCTGGTCATATCTAAAAGATGGGGGGAAACAGTGCAGACTCCATTTTGTTTATTAGATTTATTTTCTCCACTACAATCATGCCATACTGTAGCATCTTCTCTTACAGATCAATTGTGCTTTGATCTATCTACAGTACTGTTTTAAGACTTGATCAAGCCACCTCTGGAATACTATACATACAGTTTTGGGTGCCATATTTTAGGGATGTAATAAGTTAGATGTACATAGAGGAAGGCAAATAGGGTGTTGAGAAGTCTAGGAATCAAATTCCATGATAAATAGTAGACAGTATTGGGTATATTTCTGGAAAAGGGAAGAACAGATGTGATGGCTATTTTTAACTGAAGTTCTGTTATGCAGAAGATGGAGCAGATTATTTATGTTGTTCCAGAAGAATGCATTTAGCAAGAACCTTTGAACAATATAAGTTGTACAATGGAAGATAGTGCTGCTTGAAATATCTAAATATCTCATCTTTCTGCAGAACACTTTCAACACAGATCTCTAGAGGGATTTTGTTCCAGAGGTCAGGCACCGTGACAAAGAAGTCATGCTTCCTGGGTCTCAATAGGTACACTGTTTAATTGAGGGAACCCAGAGAATGCCAACTCTGCCAGCTCTTACTGTATGGGCAGAAACTATGGAAGATGGGTGGTCCCTCAAATAGCCTGGCCCTATTTTCTCTATAGAAGTGGAACAGGTTGGAGGATCTGCTTGTTGCATACAGGCCAAAACCTATATTTCATTTATTTATTTAATTTCTATAGCTGCTCATCTCAACCAAGTGACTCTGGGCGGCGAACAATTCTAAAACCATAAAAACAATTCAAACCAATACAAAAATAAATATATACAGTAGCTGAGAAAATTATAATAATTATCAATATAGCCAAGAGACAGGGCCCTTAACACATTCGGAGCCCCACGTGTGCTGCTTCTTGAGAAAATTTTGATTCATATGACTGAGTAGTAACTTTCCATTTGGAGTACTGTGAAAGCAGGTTGGCTTCACAACCACAGAATGTG